TTGCGATGCACAGCCTATCGGTGCTCATCATTACGTCATCCAAATAATTAGATTTGAAAGTTTACTATAATATACACGGAATAAATATAGAGAGTAATTGCATCTCAATATATGTCTCTTTAAATATCACTCTAACAATAGAGCCGAACAAATAAGTAATTTATTTTTACACTTTAAAAGTCTGGATAAGGTATACGTAAACGTATAGCGGATTATTTGCTATACCTTTTCAAATGAAACCAAAATAGCGCTATATTTATATAAGTTTTGCCCTTTTCTTACACTTGTTTGACAAATGTATTGTAAAATCATTTATATATTTTTATCATATGATGCGAGACATTGAAGTGAAACACGAGTGGTCGCTAAGCAACGCATCCCGGGCCCCATCACATCTCATCCCAGGCTAACAATGCGTTATTATTATGCAAATTATGGATTCAGTGTTTTGCACATTTTAAAATAACCTTTTGGTTTATCATTATTATGTATTTTACATAATTTTGAGTGCAATTTAAATATTAATTTCGTATAAAAATATTTCAACTTTATATAGAATTCATAAGGATTTCAATTGCAAACTAAATGACATGAAAAGTCAATATTTCATATTGTTTTCTAAATGTATAGCAATTCTTGTATCAAAACTGGACATAAATAAATAGGAATAACATTAAAATTGTTGTTTTATTTGTCAAATTGTTATATAAATGCAAATACTCCAGTTATGTTACAAAACACATTTTTAAATATTAAAACAAATTATATTAATAATTATTATTTTTATTAAATGATATAATTATAATTCAATTTAATAAATATTATGTGAAACAAAATAAATTGTATTAATATTTTACATATTCTCTCTCTCTCTCTCTCTCTCTCGTCAGTAAAAATTAATTGAATAATATGGATTAACATTGCAATGACCATGGTCATTTAGTCACTATATTTTAATCTACCGTATCCGACAGTAATTAAATCAATATTACATTATACTTGTCAGTAGTATTAATGTTAATCAATATAAGGGAGAAGTGAATACAACAATTGATTACTTGGTAATGAATTGGGAAGTAATCTGTAAGTCATGTCAACCCTTTGACCCTAAACTGCAAGACAAGTGAAATGTTTGAATGACTTGAATATACGATAAGTACCACTAATTACCGAATGAGTTGTACGTTAATATATGGCAAACATGACATCGTTGAATGAATATTCAGCATAGCTTTCACAGCAGGGATTACCGCATCTATCAACACATACAATGGGATCAAAATAATAACTGAATACTAACAAATAAAATTGACAAAATTATACTAGGTTTAAATATTAGTAACTGTCATTTTATTACTAAAAGGGCAACAGAAAAGTTAATAAAAAGTTGCATTATTTCAAGTTAAATACAATAGTTTCATTCAACTTCAATAAATGATAATTGCAACAATTTTATGAGTTTAACATTAATTGAATAAAAAATTTTGATCAGTCTTTGACTAATTAACAACTTTTATAAGCCTGGTACTATATTACTCATCAAGAGGTTTCCCTACTAATTACATGCAAAATTTGACAATAATTTTCATTTTATAAAAAATATTTGAAATTTAGTGGACATCATATTTATAATTGATACACACTTTAGACTTGCATTCAATACATTGCAGGCGTTCATCAAATGTATTAACGCCTACTATTTATTAACAATTATTTAGTTATTAATTTAATTAAATTGTCCTTAAATATGGACCTATTGTTTATATTTAATGCACTTTTAACAATATATTCACTGTTATTACGGCCGATAACCGGCGATGAACTTGTTTTGAGCGACAAACCGCTGAATGACGAGACACCGCAACACTTGGCCGCTATTGCCGACAATTATTTAACAGCTCTACTAAATGCCCATCACTTGACCGCAGACGACAACCCCATCGACGACCAGAACACTCGGTCCAAGAGATCGCCTCAAACTTACGGCCAAAACGGAGACTCATTTACAGATAATGTATTGATTAAGATTTAATTGAATGTGAATTGATTTTCGTACTAAACTAACACATAGGGTGTCCACCGCTTGCGATCAATTGTACCGCTGATGACCACATGTGAGGCGTCCGTTGACTTCACGACAATCCCATTCAACGGCCAAACGTATGGCATATGTGTGTCGCGATCGATGGGTCAGAAGTCGGCCAAAGTTAGTGTCGGCGCCTTTACTAACAACGGATGGCAGCGGGACTTAGTTTCGTGGTCAGTAATAGACCCGCAAAAAGTGGTGGCGTTTGTGGACGAAGACAAAGACTCAAAAGACCCGAATCTATACGTATTGGTGGCCGACTCGGCCGGCAGTGACGGAACCAACCTCTATGTGATAAACAAATATAATAAGATGATCACCAAAGAGCAGCTCACAATCAACAGCAAGTGGCCGACGGCTATCGCTGTTTGGTGGTCGCGATCCGACACTTCCTACCACTTGGCGATCGCCAACTCTAACGCCAAAGACTCGACGCAAAGCTTCAAATCAAATACCTCTGTCTATCATTGGAAACAAACATATTTTGATCGATACTCAGAAATGACCACTTATTACGTGAAAGACATCTGTCCTTTCAATATACACAGCAATGAGTTCATAGCTGTGGCCAATTATAAGGCCGGACCGAACCAAATGGCCGTCGAGTCGGAATTGATCGATACTCAGAAATGACCACTTATTACGTGAAAGACATCTGTCCTTTCAATATACACAGCAATGAGTTCATAGCTGTGGCCAATTATAAGGCCGGACCGAACCAAATGGCCGTCGAGTCGGAAATCTTTAAGCTGGACATCGACCGCAAGAAGTGGCGCTCATTTCAACGCATCCAGACGTTCGGCGCCGTCGACTGGGAGTTCTTCGCGATCGGCGACGACCGGAACAAAGAGTACTTTCTGGTTGTGGCCAACAGTTTTGGCATAAAGAACGGCCAAATCGATCACAGGGGCAATTCATGGATCTATAAATTTTCTGACGATCGGTTCGTGCCGTTCCAGTCGTTGGCCACAAACGGCGCGACACAACTCGACTCGTATATCGGCTCTAAGGGTGAATTTGTCTTAGCGGTGGCCGACAACGATCCCCAACAAGCCGTCCATTTCTATCAATATAACGGCTGGCGTTTTGTCTTCGCTTCTTTTCAACACAAGATCCCTGTGTGGGGTCCAGGAGTGGCGTCCCTTCACTTTTCATACCTCCCTATCCACCGGTCAGTTATACTTGTCGTCAGTAATCCTAATCAGCCGACTGGACGCGTGTTTGGACTGGACTTTATTTTCGAGAATCCTTTGGACGACTGGCACAAGAAGAGTCTGGTCTGGTGTGCGGCCACCGATCGGGACGTGAATCACAATACGATTCCTCCGCTTAAAGACGTTTTCTTTGTCGACCAATCGGAGCCCATTGTCCTTAACGGTGACTTTATTTTATCCGATCTTGTGGTGGACTCGCTGTCGACACCTCTTCTCGTCGACGGTTCCACTGGCGATGAATTGAGTCACAAACTGATCGAGAATTTGATTCAATTGGATCACGAAATACACGCCGTGGAGGCAAAGATGGGTCAAATTGTGGACATATTATCCAACGCTTTGAGGACTCGCGGCAATCAAGAAATAACTGCTCCTCATGTCTATAAATCAGTTGATTTTGACTGCAGTCCAGGCATGGAGTGTCTCGTCGGACACATTCAGACCAATGTCCTCAATAAGGATAACGTTAATGGTTTGGCCAATGATATCGTTCCTCTCAATAGAGATCAGACTATAGACCAATCGATGCATTTAGTCCAGGCATGGAGTGTCTCGTCGGACACATTCAGACCAATGTCCTCAATAAGGATAACGTTAATGGTTTGGCCAATGATATCGTTCCTCTCAATAGAGATCAGACTATAGACCAATCGATGCATTTCGAGAACTTGATCGCCGACAAGAATATTATGCTCAACGGTTTACTCAACGGTATAAATACGGACCAAATTGTCACCAAAAGTGGAAATCACATGATTGTGGCGCCGAAGACATTTGCCAACAATGTGTCCGCCAATGAAGTGGTTGTAAATAATATGATTAATCGCGAGATAATAAATCCGTCCACTGTTTTGCTCACAACTGGTGACCAAATTATTAACAATACCATAGATTTCAAAAAAGGTATTGATGTGAATAATATCCGAACCAATGGTCCCGTGAGTGGCGTTAATATCGATAAGTTCTTTGCGGAAGTGGTCACCAAAGATGGCGATCATATCATTAGAGGCGAAAAGGGCTTTAAAAACATAGAACTGAACGAACTATTGATGGCAATCGGTTCCACTATCGATGGCGTGGATATAATGCAAGTGTGGAGAGACGTGTTGTGGACTTATGGCGATCAAGTGATCGAATCGGCCGTCAATTTCACCGAATTGGTGGTCGACGGGAATCTATTGGTGAACGGACTCGTAAACGGTGTTAAACTTCCCAATGATATCATTCGAGTCAATGAAAACGCTGTCATTTCGGCCTTTAAAGAATTCCTGCCGACCATAAAGTTTGACCGAATGGAAGTGTTGAATGCTATCAATGGTATCGGTTTAGTCGGCGGCAAATTGGATATAATGTCTAAATCGGCCGATCAAGTGGTTCCCGGACGTAAGACATTTACCAAAATGCATTTGAGTGGACACAGTCCGGTCGCAGGGACTGTGGATGGCGTGGATTTATCTCATCTGAAACAAAGTCTGCTCATCAGTAAAGCTGCACAACATTTCGATGTATTGGAAATCACGAGAAACGCCTTCTTTGACGCGGGACTCACTCTCAAGACCGGAATAAATGGATTAAAAATTGAAGATTTTTATAATAATGCTCTCAAATTGACAGACAGTCGTATCTCTGGGTTTCAACACTTTGTGATGAATAACGTGGCCATCAAATTGCTTGAATGCCTATCAATTAATAACTTGAATATCGGTATGAATTTAATATAAAATTAATATTATGATTTATGATTTTTTTCCTAAGGTTTGGATCTCATGACCAAAAACACTGATCAACCGATTTCTGGTGGATTAACATTTGAAAACGGAATTACAGCTGAAAATAACCTAACAATTGCTTATATAAATGGTGTAAATTTTAATTTCGTAAACGACACGGTTTTGTACGGTTTGGCTAATTATATTACCGGAGAGAAAACATTTATCGGCGATCTATGGGTTAAGAATCTGCGAGTGAACACAATTAACAACATTTCAATGGCAGACATTGTTTTAGTGAATCGGGACGAAGTGATTACAGCTCCCAAACAATTAGAAAACGTTATCATTTACGGCGATCTCAATGCCCATAGTTTTGATTCCCATATTATAAATGGAGTTCATATGAAGAATTTTTACGTAAATAGTCTTCAGTACACAAAACCGCAAACACTTACCGGTCGACCAAATTTCGACACTATTATCGTTCCGAAGGCAACTAATTTAGGGACCAATTCTGTGAATGGAGTCAATTTAAATCATTTGATGGCAGACGCCGTCCTCACAAATGTGCCGCAAGTAATTCCCGGTCCGAAGACATTTATCTCTCCCGTAACCATCGGTTCTGTCATTTTTAAACATACCATCGATGGAGTGACTGATTATCTAATGAGAAACGGATGGCTTTTGCAAGACGTGAAGCAAATAATTAATTCGGATGTTATTTTTGAACACATGGTTCGCGTAAACGACGGCATATTAATGGCTAAACCAGTGATAAATAATATCGAGTTAAATATTCTCAACGATAATACGGTTAAAGTGGACGAACCGGCGGTTATAGGAGGTGTGACCCGATTTACAACAAACGTTGACTCGGAAGGTATGTCTTCAGACAAATTAACTATTGACTGGAAATATTAAATAAAATGCTTAATTTTGATTACATTTTAGGTCACATCCGACTAAATGGTAGATTTCAAGGCATTAAACTGAGCGAAGAGGCCGTGCGTCTGAACGGAGACAATACATTCAAAGGCCAAATCCATTTCACCCGAGGATTTGCAACTCAACAACACTTGCAAACGACTGGAACTGTTGATGGCGTGAAAGTCGAAGAGTTGTGTCAGTTTACTGTTCGCCACAATCAGGATCTGGTCATATCGGGTCCGACACAAGTGACTGGAAATCTCGTAATTAAGGGTCCGCTTAATGTGAACATTGGTGTCAACGGAATGAATATCCAAGACTTCTTCAGAAACACTCTTAAAGTGGACAAACCGTTAGTCTTTAGAGGTGTTAAGAAGTTTAAGGTATTGATAATCGAGGGACCACTCGATGCCAGACAATTGGTCGCCGGGTTTAGGATAGAAGAGTTGGCCAACAATTACATGAGTCTCAGTCGCGACCAAACGGTTAACTCAAAAATAATTTTTCTCAATGATTTAACTTTCAACAAAAATCTTCACATCAATGGAAATCTCTTCACAACAAATGCCACAATCAATGGAATAAATATTCATCGTTTGGATTCAACAGTTCTGAAGACATTCGGCCATCAATTGATTACCGGTGACATCACTTTTGGTAATAACGTACACTTTGACAAAGACTTGAATATTCAAAACCGACGAATCAATGGTTTGCATCTCGTGGACGACTTAATGCTCAAAGGAAGAGATAATGTGGTGACAGTTCCCAAGATCTTTGCTCAAGACATTGTGGTTACGAATGATCTAATAATTAGCGATAATAAGACCGTCGGAGGCGTCGATCTTTCAGAAATGGCGAAACACTCTGTGTTAAGAAATAATGGCAAATACACAATATATGGTCAAAAACACTTCCATCGACTAGAAGTGGATCACTTGAAAGTCCGACTCATGAATGACATGGAAATATCTGACAGAACTCTTCTCTTGACTTTTGGGAATCAAACAATATTTGGCGCAAAAGTATTAAACGGCGATTTAATAGTCAATTCTGCGATCAATGCAAACACCGTTAATAACATAAATATACCAAAACTGGCCAATAGTCTGGTCCTTAAGGGATACAATGTTACGATAACAGCGCCGAAGACATTCAATTCGTCGCTTTCTGTGCAGAATGTGGAGGCGTTCGGGAGAGTGGATGGCGTGGATCTGAATGAACTCAATTACTTCATACGCCTTCCCATCGATTTACAGGACCTAAGAGTACGGCTCGGCGTTGAGGACAAGAAGATTGAAAGACTTCGGACGGCATTAAGCAAACAGTCGTACGAATTGGACTTTTATGAGTTGCACACAACTATGCCTTCCGGTCCGCCGCTACTCTCCTATCACAACACAGACACCGATTCCCAACACCTCTTCATTACTGGTCAGCGCTTGAGTAACGGTTGCCGAGAGGTTGACGTCTACGCCAACTCTCGCAATGGATTTGAATTGCTGTCAAAGTTGTACACAATTGACGCTAATTTGATGACTACTTTCACATCTAATGGACACCAGTTTGTTGTCGTCACAAACGCTAATAACGGTCCTCAAGCGGAACAGTGTCTCAAAATGAATACGTTTACAAAGTTATCACATTCTGGAAGCGGTCCGCAAATCACTCAAGTGTTTGTCTTCGACGGCCAACAAAACAAATACAATGAAATAGCAGTTATTCACACCCATAGTGTCACCGATATTGATGTGATCGAAGATAATACTCTTAATCCGTGTCTATTAATGGCTATTCCTGTTGTAAATCGAGTGAAGGGTCAGTCAATTGTCGTCTGTCTTAACGCTAACGGAAACTTCTATTTGAGAGAAACGGTTCCACTCTTAGGAAGACATCGGGTATTCTTTTGTCTCATTTTGTCAAAAGGTTTTTTATTAATCTTTAAAATAATTCTAGTTTACGATAACCCGAAGCAATAAATTCAACCGAACATTAATGGCATCAATAAAGCGGTGGTCACCCAAAGAGTGGAAGTTCTCCGACATAATGATCAGCGAGTGGTCGACACATCTCTTGCATTTCGATCACTCCGTACAGAGGATTGAATTCCTGAACCCAATTGCCATTCATTTGGTGGACATTCCCTCAGATTCTGCCACTTTCCTCATCGCAGCCGAAAAGAAGACATCACTCACTCATAAGCCGTTGGTTCGCATCTTTAGGTACAATCATAAACGCGTGGATCCGTTCACAGAAGTGCAACAAATCAAACGCCTGGAAGTGACACAAATCGAGTCCGTATTCTTAGACCACCGAAGAGTTCTGGTCTTAATGCTATCAAAAGATATATTATTCGTATACCAATTGAAAGGCGCGTCTGGTTTCCAACGCGTGTATCAAATGGATGTCCAAAACGCCAGAAGTTTTATTGTAACCAATAATGTAAAGAACGGTCGAATTGTTGGCAGTTTGGTCTCTATTGATATCTATGATTGCAATGTAAACGATGCCAATTGTCATCAAACTGTTGTTCTGGACAGTCGTCTCATTGGCCTTTAACTTCTAACTAATTGTTTTAGTTTTTACAAATTTATATTTTTGATAATTTAAATTGTTTATAATTTAATGGAATATTTATAAAAGTCATATTAAATTAATTGCAAAACATATACGATTAACATTTTTTATAAATGGACCATTGATTAAGCTTTTAAAGCATATGGTAAAGAGCTTCCCAGTGATTATTATTAGCATTAACAGAAATAGAGTAAACAAGTATGAAATGATTGATTGATTACAACTATTAATTTAAAAATCGTTGATTTTTATTGTTTTATTGTATAAATAAATGAATTGACAGATGATTGCAAAAAATACTTATTTTCTTAAATCCAAAACAAAGACCTAAAAACAAAATAATTGTGATTAAAATTCAATCAATCATATAATTTAAATGCAAAATTAAAATACCGATCCATCGGAAGCACTGGCGCCCACTTTGTCTCCTCTGGCGTTCCAACAGACTTCGAATATACCTCCCGTTCCCTTATATGAGTGAACCAATTGTCCGGATTGTGTCGACCAAATGTGAACGCATTTATCGAAACTGCCGGACGCCAGGAACCGGCCGTCGGGGCTGAAGGCCACCGAAT